CCCCCCCCCCCCCCCCCCCCCCCCCCCCCCCCCCCCCCCCCCCCCCCCCCCCCCCCCCCCCCCCCCCCGCCCCCCCCCCCCCCCCCCCCCCCCCCCCCGGCTCTATACTTACTGTTTTAGCTTGTTCAAATTCAACATCGGTATCCGCAGCTAATGCTAAAAGACGTTTAAATCCACCCATAATCAAGTGAGGAGCTGATGCTTGATTTGGATAATTAATAGCCAGAGAAAATGCGGCTAAACGTTGAACACCTAATTGAAATTTCTGTCGAAGATCTTCCGGTTTTATATCGAGAATTGATGGATTAAAACACGCACCAGAATCATAAACTAAATAAAAAGAAGAAAGATAAAACTAAGTAAAATTCAATAGCTATTCTATCTTTATCATAGTAATCAATTATTTAATTCAAAGATAGTGCCGTGTTGTTGTGTTTTACCTTGACGAATAATCAAACCATAACTAAATGGTGAAATATTCAACATGTTCAATAATGCTGCTTCACTAGCTCCAACTTTTTCACCAATTTTAATCAAATGTACATCATTCTAAACAAAATACAAAATAGACTTGTTTTAAATGTTTCAACATTAGCACTAGTTCAATTGAAAACACAATATAAACAAATATGATTTACGTACGATAATTTCAATTGTTCCTCTTGTAATTTTTGTTGGTATTTGTAGAGCTTGAAAAAAACTGGTTTTTTCTGGTCCTAAACCTGTTACTTGTGCTGGAATTGACACATCAATAGGAGCAAGTGCACCTGCACGAGCCGGGGCAGCAACCTAAACATAAGAGAATCACATCAAATATAAAATATTTTCCTTGCCTTCAACTATCGAAGTAGCACGATAAAATAAATACATACTTTATTTTCAAGAATTTTTTCTCGAATTGTACTTAGATCTTCTTTTGTAAATATAAATCCAACATTTTCATAGACATGTGGTATTAATTTTTCCAAATTTGAATTTTTACTTGTTTGACCACGAATTGCTTTACGCATCATGGTATTTTTACCCATTAATACAACTAGAATAAACAAGAAACTATTTTTAAACTACACAAATTTAAACTAATTTTCTAATTACCTGCATGACCACGCAGTGAAATACGAATCTTTTGCATTTGTTTTGAACCAACATTATCGACTCCAACAATAAAACATTTCGGATATTCATCCAAATATTGCTAGGAAAATAAAACAAAAGTAAATTTTAGAAAACAAAATACAAATTGTTGATGTTGACCTCAGAATACTGTAAAAATAATTCTTCAAAAATATTAATTCAGAAGGTTCTGAACTTGGTACATCATTGGTCAACATACAAGAAGCAAAGTAAAAAATTGGTAAGTGCTTAGTTTTCATCAGTCATTCAAGAGAAGTCTAGTTCAAATATTTCAGTATTATCTGCTAACAATATTAAAAATTTCGTTATTCTTGCTCATTAAACATCTATCAAGTAAATAAAACTGAATTTTGTCTAATGTTTTGTTGTACTCTCAGAAGAGTTGATCGCTCATTAAATCATTCAGCATTGCAGGACACAACTCAAAAAATATCGTCAATGAGCACAATCTAAATGAGGAGTAAAAAATGTATAATAAGTAATGCATGAAGGAAGAGAGTTCGATTCGAACATTTTTATTAAAACTAAACAGTTTTTAGGGATCTTAATGCTTTCAGACTTGTTAATCAATCATAAATTAACATAAAATCAGTATTGCAGAACACACAATTTTTGGTCATCAGCAAGCATTACAGAATACCCTCTACTGTAGTAGAGTTAATACTAGATATCTCTCTCTCTTCCTTGTTAGAAACGTTTGGAGAATTTGAAAAAATAGGAATGCCATGGAAAACATATTTATCTATCGACTAAAATGAGATGATTCTCAAATTACAACTTTTGAGTGTATATCTTCGTATTATGAATGTAGATTATTTTATATTCTAATTCGTTGTTAACACAAATGATACTTGTTTTTATTCTGACAGACGAGGCCAATACTGTGATTCCATTCCCGAAATCCAGTGGAATATGTCTGTCTTTCTTGTTTGTTTAGCAAATACATTTTTGCTTACTGTTAATCTCATTGTGTATTTTGCTTTCCATGTTGAACGATCTTCTTTAACCATTTCTGTCGGAGAAAAAAGGCTCCAAATGTATCTACAAAGAGAAAGAAAGCGACAGTGACAAATAAACGAATTTAAAAGAAAATCAATAAACTGTTCGTAAGATGATAAGTTATATTAGGCTTTTTTCTTCCATACAACTTCCCTACTCTTATTTTCCTCTGAAAATTATGTCTGAGTATGACTTCAGAAACAAGATCTCCATTAAAAATTTTGTAATGGGCAATGGACACCCCTCCCAGCTTATAAGCTGAAAAAATATAATATGAATCCTACAATACAGCAGGAGTTTATATTTTGCGAATATAATATTGCGAAATTCATTCGTGTTGCGAAATCCAAAAAGGTGTCAGTCACTTTTCTCTTTGACTATGCAGAAAAGATATTGAGAAGCAAATCAGTACACCCCCAAAAACGTAAGAAAAAAATGGAGTGCTGCCTCTACGTAAAAAAAACGCGTACAAAATCGCTTTTCAAAGAGGAATTTCCAAATATCGATTTAGAAAAATTATAAAGTTACGAAAATCTATAATTAGGATTAGATTCAGTTCAGTCGACCGCATCGGCGAAAGCTACAAAGACATTTGGATTATCGTAATGGCTACTTTCAACCAATCAGTTTGATATAAATAAATGTATAATAACTGAACGTATGGTATGAGTATGTTATATTCAACCTCGAACGACGAATTTAACATCCAAAATAAAAGAGGGAAACACGAATAAGAAACATCCGATTTTGTTTCGTTTGGGTGCTCATAAGCAGAGAATTCGATGAAAAATATATTTTAGTTTCCCGTTTTGTCCACCGAATATCTTCCTCATAAAGTTTAACATCATACGAAATATGAAAAAGAAATGTTTAGATAAGAAACATTGACTCTTGCAGTTGGCCAAAAGTTCCCACACGTTTGATGCGTAAATACACGGCAGTCAATTACTTCAGAACTCTTTACTATCATAATCATATGTAACAATATGAAGTCAAATACGTACAGTCGAACGTTATTGTCTCGACATCATTAACAGATCTCACTCACATTTCTTTTCAGTAATGATTTCGTTGAAGTAGTAGCGTTTATAATACCTAGCTTTCAGACAATTAATCTTCTCTCTATTTTACATTCGTGACGCGAAGGATTCTGCTGTAGAAAATGAAAATGCTTTCGTCTGTTGAAACAAAGAGGTTTACTTTTAAAGTAGTATATATTCCCTAGTCGATTCGGAAAAATTCCCGCGGCGACTTTTAATTTTAGTAACACTTCTTTTTACTTTTTTCACATTTTTAAGTTAGCATTTTGGTTTATTCTATCTATTTGTTTTAAATATAAGATGAAGCTAGATAATCACCGGTACCAATCGGTTCTGATCGATTCCAATCAAGAACTTATCAGAACATTTACAAACTGGTATGGTTGTAGCCTGTACCTTCAGCCATGTAACGGATGAAATTGATACCAATTCTCATCAAAAATGAAAAACACTGGAATCACAGGCTATTATAAGATGACGTTTTAGTAATGGATCACTTATGTGACAAAAACTTTGACAATTTGTCATCAATTCAGTGATTCTCACACACTATGTGTCTTGGTAAAACAATGAGAATAAAAAAACAAAAAGGTGAAGGTGTCTTGCGCAGTTTCAGCGGGAATCTAGAAGGATTTCTAAAAAATCCTTAGTATTCATTTTCATCAGTCAAATTATCTAGAAATTTCGAAAATGCACTTTTTCATTTTTCTGATTAGAATAAATTGTCTCATACGTACTTTAAAATAGATACCACCACTCTGGGGTGTTGATCTAGTCAGTTCTAGTAGCCCAATATTTGCTTTGGGGCTGATGAGCTCCTGATATAGTGCCTCATGCCATTATCAGTCATTAGTCACAGTTCTGACCGAAACGCCAGCCTGATGCACACATCTTTTCGAAAGTTTCTGATTTCAGATTTTTCGAAAAACACACTCTAGAAAGTGATATCCTCTTGTCAATATTCTGTTCCAATGAATTAGATAGAATAAAAATACAAATCTATTGTGTTTCCAGCACAAAACGTTTGTCAATTTATTCTAAAAGAAATCAATGCATATGGCATCATACTGAACTGTCTTTTCTCTTTTAGATAAATTTATGCTTATCGGTTCGGATCGTTGATTTTATATGTTATGTTGAGGAATTATATGGTTATGCTTGTGTTTTTGAAACGAGAATGGCCCAATTAGAGCTGGCGTTAACTGCAGCCTCCACAATAACTACTGGAATTGTCGATACTTCATATCAATTTGAGACTAAAACGCCAACAACAACAACAAATTTATACAAGTATGTAAAAGACAAATGTAATCATTACTTAGAGTGCAGAAAAATGATGACTACTGAGGCGCGTAGCTGAATAAGAGAAAATCAAGGCAAACAAATACAATAAACAAAAATCTGACTAGAAAGAAAAACACAAGTGTTTATTCATCATGTTTTTCTTCTAAATTGTTTCAGACAGCGTCCTCAACGTGAATGTCGCCAACGAAAACGCCCTTATGATCCGAGTGAAATCGATCAATTATCACAACGTCAAATTAAACGTACAAAATCGAATATTGAGAATGAACGTTTATCAAAGTTAACCGATGAAAATCCAACCAATACAAATTCCTATCTTTTTATAAAACAGGCAACAGTATATGAAAATAATCATCATAATTCCAATGAATTAACAAATGATGGTAGTGGTGAAATTATTGATAATCCATTGAATTATGACGAACAAACACGCGATTCCGTTAGTTCGGAAATACAAAGTGATGTTGAAGATATACCTTTACCGACAATTCATAATAATGGTAAGTAAAATTTAACATGTTATTGCGAACAAATATCAATCTCCTTGTTTTTATCCTTTCTAGCAGACGAAAACAGTGATAACAACAACGATGAACTCTCAGATGATTCGTCCGAACAACATCATACCAAAGTACCACCTATTCAATATTTTTCTAAGATCTCAACCGATCAACGACCATTCATTTCTCTTCTTCGTAAACCATTAGAACAATTAAGTTCTTATCCAAGACATTTGCGAAAGCAAATAAAACGTTTTCACTATTTGTATGATCATGGTCTACAAAAACCGATTGAACCAACAAGAATACCAGAAGTAAAGAACGATGAAGGAGATGATAATAATAATTATTTAATAACAAAGTGGAAATTACAAAATACATTTAACCGTTTAGATTTATTTAAGGAAGGTTATTCAGTTTTATCGAATGAACAATTCCCATTTTATTCACTATGCTATATGGTTAGTACCATAAATAAAAAACGTTTTATAGTCGATATTAATTCGAAATGTTAAGTTTATAGTCACTTAAAATTCCAGTTTCCTGATCCATTTGGCTTCCGTTAAAAAATTAGAAGTAATACCTTACATAGAAAGTTAAATTCTCCTTATTTGTTTTAAAACATCAGACGTTCTGAACAATATTTTGTAGAGTCAACAAATTTTTTGCTAATGCTAACTTTTAAGAAATTTGTTGGATATCTTAATGCCATTTTTTAATTCTATTTTTGACTCGCATAGATCAATTCTGTTTGATATCATAGGGATCTGTGCAAATTAGATTGCCTTTGAAACAGTGTCACGGCGTTAGGAGAGTAAAATGAACTTTTTTCCTGAAAGAATTGATTTTTTGAAACTTTTCTCTATTTTTAAAAATAGTTCAATGTCCAAATGTTTTGTACCAATCGTAGTGCATTGCTTTTTAAATAGACAGTAACGCTCATAAAAAGTAGAGAAAGGCAGAATTGTGTACTTTTAATAGTCGAAAAACGTCACGATGATACTCTCTGTATTTTTTAGATAGAAACTAATCACCAAATGTTCGCTAGTTGATTATTTTATCGTATCTGCGGAATGCTTTGCAGAATATAATGGCAAAAAATCCAGTTTCTAGCTGCCTTACCTTTGAAGAAAAGTAGAAAACAGTGTGGAAAAAACGTCACAGGGTTACACTTGTCTAAGCCAATCGGTAGTATTAGAAATGTACAACTGGTAAAAATCTCCGTTTTTTTTAAGCAAAGTCGATTAATTCGATAATTCCAATTCCATTAACAGGTACAGAGAACAAAACTCGTACCAAAACTTTGCCGAAATTGATGATTTTTCATAGTGAAAACTAGTGTTCTTATAAACATTCATTTAGAATTCGAGATAGTATAGCGAGCCAACATCCAAAACATATTTTAGTATCTAATGGAAACGTTTATTAATAATAGAAATTGTATGACATTTTAGTGTGGTTCAATGGGTAGTGGTTTAATTTATTGTAATTGTTGTTGTGAAGCGTACCATTGTTATTGTTTAAATGAGTTAGAACGACCACAATTATTTCCAGTACCGGATTCATGGATATGTCCAAACTGTAATGTATGTAATATATGTGGACTATCTGAACATACAACAAATACACTCATTGCATGTGCCGAATGTAAAAAAAATTATCATCTAAAATGTATTAAACGAGAACCGAATAAATATGAACAAAGTCAAGAACAGTTGACTATAACACATGAGAAGTAAATTGATACTTATCTGATTAGTTTAATATTAACTACTGTAATTTTTAGTGCCTTTTCATTATCATCAACTGTTTTCTTTCGTAATCAAACATGGTACTGTCCTCAATGCATCAAATGTGATTGTGGTCAGCCATTCACGTGTACTGAACGTAATTTATTTTCATCATTTCAATCAAAATCTATTGATAATCAACAATCAATTATGTGTACAGATTGTTTAATAAATTTAAAATTAATTATTGGACAAAATCGAAAATATGACGATATTAAAAAATGTCATCTATGTGAAAAATTTATTGAACAAATGTTGATAAAACAACAATATTCATCTATACAAGAATCAAGTGAAATTAATTTAATGCAATGTCAACAATGTAAAAATCGTTTCCATCCAAAATGTGATGGTTATCTTGTGGAGGATTGTACGTTAATTGAACATATTAAATCAGTTTGTTTTAACATTGTTTGTTCAAAATGTAATGCAAATGAAAGAGATAATATCAAAAAATTAATTATCGATTATAAATTACAAGGTAAACTATTCATGTGAAAGTGTTTCCAGAAAATATCGTTAACTTTTCATGAATAACAGAAATTTACAATCAGATGGTAGACATAAATCTTAACTGTGTTATGATATACTTTAGATCTAAACCACATGCCTCCTTTTCTACACATCAAATCTTAATCTTAATCTTAAAAGAAAAACTTTAAACATTGTCATAAGATGTAATTTTTCTACGTTGATTTAAAATATGTAGTTATAATTCGGTAAAAATTTTGCGTTTAAATATATGTGTATTCTATGTTTTAGTAATGAAAAGTATAATACAAAGTATATCATCGATAATATCGATTATATTGAATGATAATTCAAATTCTCTACAGCAATTACTGTATCGTTTACAACAATTACATGAATGTCGTGGACAATCTCTCAATTTACATGTATTTTTAAATGATCTTTTAATTATTGTTCAACGTTTACTTGCACAAGTCAATATATGTCGATGGCAAGCAGTTGTTAATGGTTGTATTGTTCGACAGTGTCCATGGTTTAAAACAACCTTTAACAATAAAGAAAAATTCTATTTTCCCACTGATTCACTAATTCAACTATCACCTACTCAAGATCATACTTATTCACTGACCGGTAATAATTATCTCACAAATTTATGTTCAAATTATATATCATCTGAGTCATTAATTAAATATATCGATCAGGATACGACAATGCACGATAATTTTAATAATTTATATCAGTTAGATACTCGTAAATGTGAATTATGTCAAATATATTCTGATCATTTATCACAATTAAATATCGGTCGTCTAATATCAATCGGTTTTAAACAATGGGTTCATGTTGGATGTATTCTAGCTGCTTATAGTAGTCAAACATCACAACAACAATCTACATCATTAGATGATCCACCATATATTTTAAGAAATATAAAAGAACTTATTAAACAATGTCAATCAAAGTATACATGTCATTTGTGTCATAAACAAGGTGCATCAGTTGTGTGTTGTGAACGAGATTGTTCAACAAGATATCATTGTGATTGTATTCAAAAATATTATGCACAACAACAACAACAACAAATGTCACAACTAAACTTAGTCAATGGAACATTAGCCAGTTTACAGACATATTGTGTTAAGCATCATAAAAAACTGAATGAAGAAACAGTCATAAATGAACAAATAGAAAGAATAAACAAAGAATCAAGTAAGAAAAGTCTAAAGGACAACAAAATATACGTGTTTAAATTTCTGTAATATTGAATTGATTTTAGTTTCTGTTGTCTTCATTTGTTTATTTTAACTATATGTTTTAGATTCATTACATAGCAATATGTCATTAAAATCAATTAATTTATCATCTACTATTTACGGTGATTTAAATCGTGAATTAATTGAATTAAATTTACAGGATCTTAATTTATGTATTGGATCATTACAAATTCATTCAATTGGAAATTATAATCTATTACTTGATGACGATTTTGATAGTGACGATTGTGAGAGTAATTTGAGCGATAACGATGACGATGAATGTGAAGAAAAAACAACTAATAAACATTTAAAAATGTCACATATTTATCCAGACAGTTATCATTCATCTCGCCTATATTGGTCAACAAAATGTGCAAAAACAAAGACTGCCTATCATTTGTATATATCATATGAAAATAAATATCATGATATGAGAAAAAATCATCGTACATACGAATATGGTACATATGAACAAAAACGACAACAAATTATTTATGAAAAATGTCAAAAATACTTTAAACAATTACAAATGAAAATAGATGAACATCGAAAAAAGGTCAAATTGTTATCATCATTATCTACAGAGAAAATGACGAATCATCAACAAAAACAAACATCAAATATACAGTCGAATAAGGAAAAGAAAAAGATGAATAATAAGAGTAAGATGACAAAGACGCGAGAATTAATTACATCTTCTTCTATGTTGTCCACTACCAAAAATGTATCATCAACCGTTAAACGTCAAACACCAAAATCAACTATTCAAAATATTCGTCGTCCAAGAGATAACAATCAACATCACAAATCATCAATAAAAACAAATTATCAATCTCTTCCTAGTACTAACAGTAAAAGTTACGATAACAATACAAACAATGATCAATTGAATCACTTGATTCTGTCTTCATCATCTGCTCGAAATCATAATTCATTAACAATGAAACCATCGAATCATTATTACAATAGAACTTATTCACCAAACAAAAGTAAAGAATCAACAACATTTCAATCACATACTTCAAATGCACAAATATCACCATTACCATTTGCCGTTCTACTAGCCAAAGCTCTACAACAAATTCAACCAGCAATACTAGCAAAAGAGTATGTACCGACACGTAGAAGTATCTTTGAATTAGCATCTTAATCTATACAAAAAAAATGGTAGTCGCGACACCGATCGAGTTTTTCAAAAAATCCCACTGAAGGTATAAAACTTTTTGGAATTTTCACATCATCACCACCGTCCGCAATTGATTAAAAGCTTTCCTGATTTCAACTAGTTTTTCCAGGATAGTTCTTGATGTTGATCACGAATCTGATATTCATTTAGGTCCATGACTACACAAAATATGATCTCTAGCGACATACCCTATGGTTTCAGTTTAACAGGCTCTTATGCTGCCAGTTTATAGAGCAACTCGAGTTCCACATATGAAAAAGTTTTGAGATTTATTGAATAAGTTTTTGCGGAGTCACTGAGGATCATTACTCTTACAATTCCTGCTTGCGTCTGTTTTTTGTGTAAATTTCTTTTACTTCAATGGAAACTTAGATCACATTTCTGTGGACAAGTAGTCAATATCTTCATGTATCTAAATGAATATTAGATTCGTGATCAGCATCGAGAACTATTCTAGAAAAACTAATTGAAATCAGGAAAGCTTTTGATGATCTGAGACCTCTTCAGTCAATTGCATTTTTACTTTTGTCTAATTAATGAATACACAGGAATTAAAACAATTTTGTTTTTCTTGAATACACATTCAAGAACAACTATCTTGATTTCACATATAAATGAAATAATTGCTTTTCGTGCAATAGACTTGACCGAACTTTTTTTCTCATTTAGTTCGCCACCATCCACTCCACCATCTCACACCTCAATTCTTAATTATTATTTATCAAATCAACAATCAAATAAAACCGGTGATGATTACAACATCAATCATAATCAACAGCATTCACCATCGATTCACACAATTTCATCTGATGAACTAATGCAAAATTTGTGGAAACCAATAAATTCAAATAAAAACAACAGTAGGTTATTATTTGGATCATTACTTTACTCACACGTAAATAAAACTCTTTTTCAGCTGAAGCTTCTCAAGAACATCAATTAAATGTCATAGGTAAATATATAATAACGAGTAAAAACATTTTCTCCAATTAATCTATGTTTCTTCTTTAGATTCCCTGTATTTGTCCAAAAACGATACATCACAAATTCTTCTAGAAACCGATAATATTCTTTTAGCTAATATTGTTTTATCAAGCAAACATAAACAACATCAACAATTTCTAAAAGATTGTTTACCACAATTAGACGGATGTCTCGATGTGATTGGTGATGACAGTAATGACATGGATTATAATACTATTAGACAGATAATTGATTCATTGCTCGATCAAATTGAACAAACTATCCATCAACGAACATCAGGTGAACATTCTCTAGATTTAAACACAAAAGATCAATTAGTTAATCTAAATAATCTGATGGAATTCGAAGCGCCACCAGTTTATGTTAATAAACTTCAACAACAGTTTTCAAAAGATAAACCACTACAACAACAAAAACGAGAAAAACTGAATGCAGATGAAATTATTGAAGAATATAAACGATGGAAAAAATTGAAACATAGTCAAATTAAATTTCGAATTCAAAGTGATGATGGCTACGAAATTATATCTGATGATTTAAATCAAGCATGGACAACAATTGTCAATCTGGGTAGGTAACGTAAGTTAAATATTCATTACTTGTCTAAACTTTTATTCATATTTTAGTTCGTGAAACTCGTGATGATATGAAATTAAGTCATCTACCACTGACATTCTACGATGGTCATGATGCATTTGGTCTAAATAAAACTATTGTTAAAACATTATTAAAACAATTACAAATATGTACAATAAAAAATTATTTTCAAACACAAACAACAAAAAAGATATCAAGTGAATCACAATTATCGTCCATTTCTGTATTACCATTATCAACATCATCGACAACATGTCTAAAAACAATGAAAATAATTGTAAAACAAAATGAATGGTATCGAAAATTAATTTTATATAAAAAACAATTGAAAAAACAACATCGACAATTTTCAAAATCAACTGTTTATGAACGAAAATCTCATAAAAGACAACGATTTGGATGGCTATTAAATTCATCAAGAAAAATTTCCTATGCAAAAGAAACATTTGAGATTGATGATGCACTTTTACATGCCAGGTATTCAAACAAATATCTTTTCTATCATTGCAGATGTAAATAAACAAAAATAGTATAATTTATCTGATCTAATGTATAGTTAGATATAAGGAGAAATGTTATCCTTTTGTACATTATTCATAGAAAGCAACTTTATCTGAAGTAGAAACAATAAATGATGAATGTTATAGATTCTTTAGCTTTAGCTTCTTTAGTTTGCTTTTAGAAAATATTTCTCTATTTTGTCATGCGTTATCCTCTTTTTTTTTTAGACGTATCATTTTGGAAGAATCGTCCGTTAGTTTACGATTGTATCATTTGCATTATTTTTCTGAACGATGTTTATTAGTTGGCCATTCGCCCATACATGGCTGTGGTCTATTTACATTAATCGATATTCTTGAAGGACAAATGATTATCGAATATTCTGGAGAAGTTATAAGACCGTGTTTAACAGATAAAAGAGAAAGAGAAAATGAAGGAAAGGTATGTTATAGGACGAGCCTATTTTGTAGAGATAAATATTCAGAAGTGAGACTTCTACTAAAAATACCTGGGTAATAGTGGAAGTGGATGTCTGTGGATATCTCTAGGCTATCTGTGTGCTGTGTGTGGGTGTCTTCATGTTTTACTATTACCCAAAAATACCTTAATATTGAGCAAAATATTTACCAACAGCGCTCAAATTTCATACAGACAACCTTCTTTTTATTTATTTTACATCAAACGATTCTAATTCTCGAATTCTAGTTATTCAATCATGCTTTTTGCTATCGGTCACTTCTTGTAAAAAGAATAGTTTTCGTTTTTTGTGTAGTGATTTCGTTAATCTTTCTAATTTACCTAATACATCTATGATTTGTGTTTCTGGCTCGTTTTAGTAATAGAATAAGTAATTTTTAATAATAATTTGTATTTGAATGTGCTCTTTCTAAGCACTCATATTGAAATGTACCCTCCGATTCTGGCATAATTTCAGTCTATGCAAAATCAGTTTTTATTCACTTCTTTTCAGTACAATGAAACTAATAGGTCTGTATGTTTCAGAAACAGTAAATCTGTCAAGATAGGCAGATAGGCAAAAAAAATATACATAAATGAATGTGGCTTATAAAAACCATGGAGAAAAGTGCTTTTTATCTCTAATGAAATTATTTTTTCTCTAAAATCTTGAAATTTTTTAGTAGTGGCGTAACTAAGCCCTGGCACCGGTGAAAAGGGAAATCTAGATTTTAGAAAAAAATTCATACTACTCTTTATGACTCCAAAAATGCATAGAGCGCAACCCGGACACCCACCATTTCCTGGTTACGCCACTAGTTTTTAGATTTAGATACCTGAAAATTCTGTTAAGAAATTATTTTTTAACAGAAAATATTATTTTTAGCATTGTGCCTGTTCTATTTCATTTTAGGGTTTTGGGTGTTATATGTTTACTGTTGATTCAATGCATGTTATTGATGCAACACATCGTGGTAATAAAGCACGTTTTATCAATCATTCATGTGAACCAAATTGTTTTTCGAAAACTGTTCTATGTGGTGGTATTAAACGAATTATAATTTATGCTCTAAAAGATATTCAAAGTGGAAAAGAATTAACATATGATTATAGTTTTCCAGAAGAAGATGTTAAAATTCCATGCTGTTGTCGAACAAATAGTTGTCGACAATATTTAAATTAATATTATGTATATGATGGTTACTCATACTCACATAGAAGATGAACAACAATGTTTTGTTAAAAATACTGTTTAGTTTATCTTTCTCATTGATATTTGATCGAAAATAATACGTAGTCATATTTTTGTGCTCTACGCTAGAAGAATTTGTCATTTTTTTTTTGTAAATAATTGATTTGACTAATTCTTCTTTCTAGTCATGTCTTTCTTTCTGATTATTAGCGTTTAGTGTTTTCTTTTCTTTTTTTTGTCTTTTTGGCAAAGATATATCTAAAAGATTAACTTTTTTTGTAAAGTTAAATGACTGTTAATTAATTAAATTATGTATAGCCCTCCTATCTCATTTTTTTGTCATTCATTCTTTAACAGTGTAGTTTGCTTTTCTACATTTTTTCGATCATTTTAAAATATCTCTCCACATTTCTTATATGACTACATTTATGTACGTTCTATAAACAAATAAAGTAAAAAGCAAATAAATCAATTTCTCACAAATAACTGTAATCATTCATAAAACAAACGAAAGTTAATTGAAAAAAATGAAAAAATTGACAGTTTTTGATGAATAAATGTATCGAATTGAGTGAGTAGAAACTATTCATATATTCTGTGATTTTAAGCGGAGCCAGTTTCAGCTAAAATATGAGCGAACAAGAATATAGTAAAGATACAATACAACGACAGAATCTCATCATGTACAATCGTGCATCAAACTAATAATTCAAAGTTCAGTTCTTTTCAGTTTTACAAACCATTGTTTCTATCGTACGCTGTTAGAACGAACAATGATTCTTTTGAAACGCAAACGTCAAGAGATACTGTTTCTGAACAAGTGCTACTTTTTAAATACAAAAATAAACCATTTATTAGACAGTTTTTCATTTAATGCAAGGTTGCTGAACTTTTTCTATACATTTTTAAGAAACTCTAAAAGGATCAACATTTACTTTACCGTTCCCGTTTAAGAAAGAGTCTACAGACAATCAAGATAATCTAGTTCCACTTCAATACTCAATTAAACTCTACAAAACTTGATTTCTAATTTTTGAATCAAAGAAAAATATTAAAAATGTGGAAGCAGAGCTGGCGTCATAATGGTTTTGTTCAAAAAGAAGAAAATTTGTTCACCTCTTGCCATTTTTGCTCTGAAAGTAATACTAATGGATAGAGTAGTTTTCAAAAAAACGTTTTTCAAAGGTGGTATGAAATAACTTTTTTAAAAAAACGGTTCCGCTTCCTATATCTGTCATTTATTAACCTAGCGCCCTGTTACTATTTAATGATACTAAATTATTTTGATCTATAATGTCGCATGTTTCAACAATCAGTTGGAATAAACAACCAAACCAACAGGGCTGTTTCGTTGCTGTTCGCTCTTTCTTGCTAACTGTTAGCGCTTGAAATTTTTTTAGTGGGGTCTTACTATCCTTTGAACGATATTTATTCACAAATATTGATAAAAATAATTCATTGTCAGTTTTCTTAGTACTTAAAAATCGCCAATGTCTAAACGTTTACATCGATTATCAACAATAACAAAAAATCAAAATAGTTCGTAAATCTTGTTCATTCATTCAATAGGTATAAAAAAAGTTGATATAGAATCGACAATAAACCAATACATAATAAAAATAATTAAAAAACGTCTTGATAAAGAGTCATTAGAAAATATTTGTACCAGAAAGATGGATAACAATAGGAAATATTCTATTATTCGTTGTCGAATAAAATACCTATGTCGAGCTTCTTTTTAAATATCACTGATTACCAGTGGTTACTTAAAATACTGTCGGTAACCGCGGTTACCATGAGGTATCCGGAACTACCGCGGTTTAACAAAATACTGCGCGGTAACCGTGTCTATCGATTCATCTTTTGGTTTTCCATCCGTGAAAGTATAAAGGAAACATAGAAAATTTCTAAAAACTTGATTTTTTTCAGATTAACTCTTTCTTTAGATTATAGGCTCTTGGAAGTGTGAACTTCGACTCGAGTCAAATTTTCTCACAAGACTGGAAGCCTTCATGCGTTTAAGCGCTTGATAATAATAAAAATAGAAAAGTTCGAAACTAGTTTCGAACTCGGGTTTCACGTATTCATAATGAAACAATATCGGGCAGTTACCGTACTGTGCGATCCCGTAAACCGCACGGTATTTAGCACCATTACTGGCGGTATAACTCGGTACACTGGACGGTAACTGCGGTATTTTGCCGGTATTGATGACACGAGTAAATGGTGTTTAAAGCGAACGCATTTAATGTTTGACGACTAAGACATTATAGAAAAAATTCACTTCAGCATCTCATATTATATCAATATCATGAACTTTTAATATTGTCGAATACTGTTTCATTCGTACCTCTTGCTTATAAAAATAGTTCTGAAATCAGAAAATCAGTTGAAAATTACTCATTTAACCGTCTTTCTATTTATTTTTTTGATTTACAACTGTCGAAAACGGTGTTCATAGCGAAAAAGTTTTTGAGCCAAAATATTTTCTAGGCCAAAATCGGTGCTTTAGGGACGCTAAGGGTCCACACTATTTTGATATTTGGATTCAGTACCGTCGAGTACCTAGAAAACAGTCATTTTGTCGCACAAAACGCATAAGAACGAAAACTCGTTTTTCCACTACAGTTTTAAGTTTTACACGTTTAAAACCCGCTTAAAACCTCTTCTAAAACCTAAAAAAATGGTTTTGCTTAGCTTTCGCGATGAGCTCTTTCATATGGCTAGATCAAAAACATTTTTTGTTTCGAAAAGTTTTCGAGCTTGAAAACCGGGTCATTGAAAAACCAGGTCTCTAAACTAAAATTGGGCCCAAACCAATGTGATAGTCGGATTCAGCACACTCGATTACCTATTGTCCACTAAGATTCAGGCCAAAAGCGTTTAAACAGTTGTGGTACTTCCCTCGTAAGTCATCTTTTATGTACAAACATAAATGATACAAGTTTCAAACGATACATGATGTGAAATTTAAAAACGTATTCAATAATAATGATAGTCTGCATAGAAGTGCTGAAAATATAGCACCTCCCGACACCACGAGCACTGGATGAAACGAGGAATTGAACATTTCTTCTCTTTACACAAAGACGAGTCGAAAGAAAAACAAGTATCAACAACATTTTGAAAGTCTCCAAGATGAGCGTCAGTGTATCCACTCGCATGCCAAGCATATTGAATGAGTTTGTGAAAGAGGAGAGAAGCTATTTGAGAATGAACGAGTGATTGATACTAATTTGATGATGCTATTTCGATCCAACATCTGAAAAACAAATCACTCCCTTTCTTTCCCCTGAAAAATACACGTTTGTATGCCTTCCACAATTGAAACTTCAGTACACTCTAAAAAATAGTCGTAGATTAATAACAGTGGCGGCGCGAAGAGGTTGGAAGCATGGGGAGGGAATCCAAAAATGGGAGTAAGATCTCCAAAAATAAGCCCCTGATTCTCCGAGCTCATGGTGAAGTCTACTTTTAGTAAGTGACCTTGTGTCTGCCTATTCGCTTTACTTTCATTGTTTCATTCTCTGTTCATTCAGTCACAAACTGTTCGATGAAAAGTCGAATATTTGATTAGAGAAATTAAAATTTTTGAGTCAGTTCATGGTGTCTTTAGGCAGGAGCGAAACTTTTGGACGAGCGTTAGTGTTTGTTGTTCTTATTTGGCCAACCTAAGAGCTAAAATATTTCTAGTTTGAAATATTGCAATTAAAAGTCTCTTCCACCTCTGGTAAAATTCGATTTTCAGTGAAATTTCTCTTGGTCGTTAGATCTTGTACATGTCTTCATTGATTGTTTTGAAATTTTAGTGAAAGAAGACAATTTTTGAACATTTGGATAATGTATTTACAGTTCAATTTTTCTAACTTTGCTGTTAGAAAACGAACAGGATCCGAGTAGAGAGGACAACAGAGCAGGCAGGAGCATTGGACGAGTGAAAGATAATGTTATTTCTCTTTTCGTTTGGTTTTTTCAGTCATCATTATTATCATCCCCGATCGAGCCGCCACTCCCCCGGCATCATTATTAGCATCAGATATTACTATTGTAGTAGTCCAAAGTTGCGATGAGAAATTAAGAGACCGTGTTCGTTCGAATTTTAATCCAATTTGTAGTTTGCTATAAAGCGCTAAATATGATGCGCAGAAAAAGTGGATTCATAGTTAATCAACTATGGTACATCGAATGAGAATATATTCTCGATATCGTCAGAGGACCTCTGGAGGACCATCATGGGTCAGCGAAGGATCTTCAGAAAACCGTTCAGGGTTTGTTGAAATATGAAGCTCTAACAAAATATTCAATTTCCTATCAATGCTCGCTTTCGAGCATCAGATCTCAATGTTGCTGAAACGGTTCTTTTAGAGATTTAAGAATTTTAGATTTGCCACTGGATCTGCCATAGTTGATTTTCTATGAAAATCCATTGTACTAGATTTATCCCAATATTTTCATCTCATTATTTCTGAAAAAGTTCTCAGATTTCATAAAGATTCTCTGACGACCAGAGGTGCAGAATCTACCCGTGAGATTGGAAAATTTCCCTCGACAGAAACTTCCCTGGCATAATCCACGAACAGAATTTCTTTTTGCAATATATTTGCAAAAAGATATTTCAAAACATGTTTCAGTTTTTCCCCGAATCCATAAGTTTTCCCCCGACGACCGTCGGAGCAAACAGGCAGATTCTGCAGCTCTGCTGACGACGTTGAGCATGGATTCATTAGATGCACGATAATCGATTACCTATGAATTCACGTTGTTTGTGAACAATATTCCAAGTTTAGAACCAATAAAAAAATTAGTAAATTTGATTTAATAAATCTGATGAATTTATTTTATTTTATTATTTTCTCTACTAACAGAAAGAAATTTTGCTTTCTACAATCGTAATTTTATATAGCCACAGTCATATATTATAAAAAATATTGTACTTTAATAATTTAATAAGCCAAAGATTTTTTATAAGACTTGTCAATTTTTTAAAAAAATTTTAAAATTCTATATTATAATATAAGTAAGCACACTACTATAGTTATTTGTATTAAATTGCAGAAAAATTCGATTTTTTTTTTGTGTAAAATTTTTATATTATTTAAAAGTGGTCGAATTTTGTATTAGTCCTACTGAGGAGTGTAAACGAGTCATGAAATTTTGTCTGAACAAATTCTGGTAGTGTCATGTTATAGGATGAACTGTTTTATTAGTTTTAATAACTTGTAAACATAAGTAACTTGATGTATGACACTACCAGAATTTGTTCAGACAAAATTTCATGGTAAATTTTTAGAGATTCTGAATTTAGACAAAACTGCTGAATGATCGTATGAGATTGAATGGATATCAGATTCGTGTTCAGCATGAGAATTTATCCATAATTAAGTAGATTTCAAAAATAAATCGACGTGACACATGGGATGCTTGCTTAGAAAGTCAAAATTATTTTTATAAATCTTTGACGTCTTCGTAACATTTCCACCGAATGTTTCATTGTGACTTGTGACAATGATTATTTAAAAAACCCGAAGAACAAGTCCACCTGTGATCTTTGATTTTCTTGTGCGGTTTGTTAATGATATGTAATGAAGTTAATCATTAAGCCGACCGAGTGAAACTCGAGGTGGCTAATTCTTTTTCACTACAAATTATTCTTTTTGCTATTAGTCTGCAATGCGTTCTTGACTATCCCTTGTCCTAGATGTTCAGGATAAAAATGAGTGGAAAGAGGAACAATATTAGGTGAAATATCTGAAGTGATTTCGCCGATATATATTTTAATTATTTTACAATTAGTGTCTAAACTTGGCATATTTTTTTTTCAAGATCATTGTTGTTGTTTTTTGTAGAGATAATTAATTGTGATCTGTTGGCTAAATATCGTTTTCTGTGCGAGAGAGATAAAGAAAATAGAAAAGAAAAGAAAATGTATTTATGTTATTATCCTTATGTAAAAGCAGGACTAATGTACTCTTATAATCTAGCTGAACGAATCATATGGTGTCTAAAATGTCTCTAAAGGACGTTTCATTCGCTCGGCTCCCCAGTCTGTCCACGGAGTAGTTGGCTTCTAGTTTAGTGGCACTATGGATGGTAATCAGTTTGAATACTTTATGAAAATTGTATGAATACAAACGCAAACAGATTGAATCACACAGATATGACCGTACATATAGAGTTCTGTGTTGCATAATCTACACTTGGACATGGCTTACAGTGATCGAAAACTGATGTTATCATCATATACTTCGGAACGTTACTTCTATTAACAAGTTTTTAACATAATTTTCATTATAGGAAATGCTTGCTACCTTATAAGATAATTTTCGATGAATGACCTTTTATTCTATATCATGATTGTTCGATAGTGTTTGATGAAGTCTTAACTCTATTTTTGTGTTCAACAATTTTGATTTTACTCTTTGGTTTGTTGAAGACATCAGAATACTTCAACACTGTGAACGTATTTGCATTGCATTCTCTCATGTAGTTCGATTGGAAAGTTGTCTTAAATTATTTTAATTTATTTAGCTCGAAATACACACATTCAAGCGTTTTTTAAATTCGTACACTAAAGACTCGGACTTACTATCAGAAATTATTCCATAAAAAAAGGCTTGTAATCACCGGCACACACGCATACAAGTTTAGATTATTCCGTTTAGTTTTATCTGATTTGTATAAAGATGTTCATTAGATGATTATCATCTTATTTCTCGCGTAATATGTTTTTATCCTAAGGTTATACATATATGTGTTTTTGAAATTATTTTCTATCAACTTATCCAGTGAGAATTTCTCTCTCTAGGAAAAGCAATCATTATTCGGTTTTATTTGGATTTGTCGTTTAGAAAATCCCAGTTGTGGGAAAAGAAAAAAAAAATTTTTTTTCAATGCTAAAAAGCAAAAAAAATCGTGTCGAGAATCAAATTGGAATGACGACGAAGAAAAATGTCAATTTTTCTTTTTTTTGACATCATGAAAGATTAACCAGTGATTAGGTTAATCAGACGCTTGATAATAGGAAAAGTGATGATTACATTTGTGTTTGTGCGTGTGTGAAATGATTGAGATCAGAAGACTGGAATATTGAATATTGTTCAAAATTGCATCTTTATATTTTCCTCCAGCCCATACAGACTCAAAAGACCATGGCAAATGAGATCGTCGTATTCACTATCGAATCTGTTTCTGTGAATAATGCACGTTTAATCAATAGAGAAATATTATAGAATTAGAAATTATGAGTCAATCTAAAATTATTAGTAAAATCTAAAGTTCAGCAATTAACAACAAAATAAACCAGATTAAACTATCGATACATTCTAATCTTCAATGTGTTTCATTTGATGAGTCAGAGTATTTTGGAGTAATAGAAATGCTTTTTGAAATTTTTGTGCTAATTTTACCAGTATTCAGTCATTTTTGTTCGAAAAAACTTACCATTGAAGATGATGATAAATTAAATATTTTTCGATACGCTGATGCAAAAATCTCTTGACTATGTCTGGTAGTTTTTTGAGACACATCTTAAATATGGAGAGCTCCGTGTATCTGCCTCTTTTTATTCCAATACATAAAAATGAAAAAAAGAAAATGTCCATTATAGCTGCTTATGCGTTAATTAGCTTAATGAGTTTGAACAATAATATGCTCAAAATCATATGTTAGAAAGAGGATGATACTATCTATACAATATGAAGCCTTTTTAAACTAATTATCTCTCAGACAGCGAATTGTGCATTAATACTCCATGCATTTGAATGGACTGTGTCTCTTTTTACTCCAAAGTGTCCTATAATACTAGTCTAATTTTAATTTAGTTTAATTTTACAACTGCTTATCGATTAGTAGAGACTCAAACAGAACTCATAAAGAAAGAACTGAATAAAATAATATCAAGTCGAGTTTCACATTTGATATAAATATTGGTCTAGTTTTCGAAAAGTATATATATTTTTTCTACTTTAAACTAATCGTACTAAAACATGCTATCTTGTTATAGTAGTCATTTCTCGAATGACAAGATGACTGTATAGGGATAAAATACTGCTCGGACTACAAAGTCATTTAATGAACAGTTATTGACTGGTGATAGGGATACTAGTAACAGCTGGATTACATAAAGTTAAATGATGAGTATCGATACACTATGTGAATAGTGTCTATCTGTTTTTGAAGATGAGACCATATGATCTTTTTCTAACCGATTTAATATTACACACAGTGGTAGTAATTCATCTTAATAATTGAACATCTAACGTCGTTTTCTCACTTTGTAATCACAGTCATTGATCGTACAATATGATAGTACAAAAAACGTAAATATGTTACGCGCTTCAAGGCACTTTATGTCAAAAACTCGTGTATATAACGAAAAGACAAAAATATATCAAATCATCATCGACCAAAAAAATAAAAAAAAGAAGAAAAGTAATAATAATGAATGGACAGGTGTTTTGTTTTTTTTCATAATCAAAGATGAGCAATCAAAAACAAAACATTTTTGTTTGCCTTGAACAGTTGACAACTTACTAGTGAGTGCCGTTGGGTTGAAAAAGTAGAAGCAACAAAAAAACTTGTACCAGTTGGTACATGATGCTTTAGGTTAGAACAACAATTATAGATCATAATGATGATTAGAAGAAAACCTATAGTATAGTCCATGATGACATGCGACACGATTTAAACATATGTTTGTCTAGAAGTTTTTGTTTTTCAAGTGATAGATATCTCTTGACTATATATATATATAGATATATTTATTTAATATCGCTATTGAGATATGTGCTAATTAGAACGTGGTAGTAATGGTAAAATTGTATTGAGATAACATTGATCAAGTGTGTGTGTACGAATGATAAGTTGTTGAACCTGATCAATAGTCAATATTTGGAAAAAACGAAATTTTTGTATCAAATATTTTGAAAAATATTGACGCTGTTACTGCTCTTACTGCTCTTCTATAATAATAAAAGATCTTTTATTTTTGGTTTTATTTTTGGTTGAACTATGTAGTGTACAACAGAAAGTTCTCGTTTTCTTCAATCAAAATTATTTCACAAACTATCCATTCAGATGGCTACTTATTCCTTACTCGGCAATGACATACAATTAAAAGCGTTAGAAATTTAGATTAGAATTTTTTTAACTTCAAAAAATAAAACGACATTTTCTATCATATTTTTTTCTATTGTCTTAAATTTTCTAAAAAAAAAGAAAAAAAAAACGATAAAAAATGCCTACCGATTGCGTGGTAAAATCAATTTGTCATCTATTTGTTATTAATTTTTATAACTCGCTGATTTCGCACCTTAAAGATTTTTTTTCTACTTTTCTTTTTTTGATTAATTTTGATAGTAGATTTATAAATGAGTTTTAGTCACAACAACAACCGAATTACATATTAATACATAAAGGTTTTTTTCCCAAAGATTATGAACTTTTTGTCTGATATTGTTCCCTTCTCGTTTTTTTCTTCGTCAATCAAAACTTTTTTTTCAGAGTAATAAAAAAAACAATTTCAACATCTATCAAGTGAATTTATACGCATGCCAACAACTATTCGCATAAAAATCTGATATAAAAAAAATCAGGTTGAATAGTTTGCCTCTTGACAATTTTTTTGTTGTCTACTAAAAAAAAAAACAAAAGAAGGAGGTGGATAGTTAAAACAAAGTAAAGGAAATCATCATTGTCTGTTGTAATATAAACATGTTTCTCTATAAAACTTTCCGATGATAGTAAAATTGCTAGCATATGGCATGTAACACTTCTTGTTCTTCTTCTTCTCTTTCTTATCCTGACATTGTATGAGGAGCACATACCACCCTTAATTCACACCTTATGATATATTTGAAGAACATATGTCATTGAACGAAAAAAAAAAAAATAGTAAGTTTTGTCCTTTGAAAACAAGTTCAAACTTTTCTATATTAGGTTCTATTAGCAAGTTCTTGAATAATAATTCCAACCGGATCTAAAATTCGTTGTTTTTGACTAGATAATGAACAATCACCAACAGATGAATGATCACTATTGCTGTTTGTAGTTGAATCATTTTGTTGTCGTTCAGTTGATGGTGTTGAATGACGTGGTATACAGATATCAGAATTGATCGTTGTTGAAGCTAATGCTACATTTTCATTAATATATTCAGGACCATGTTGTGTATCAATATGACGTCTTAAATCAACTTTACGTTGAAATGCTCGACCACATCTTTGACATTGAAACGGTTTAAAACCGGTATGTTTACGACTGTGAGTGATTAAATTTGATGACTGAGAAAATGCTTTACCACACACAATACATTTATGTGGCTTTTCACCTAAAATAGAAAAATTTTATTCTAAAGAAAAGTTTTGCACTTTTTGACCATATTTTTTCATTCTATTAGTTCAAAGATAAATGTCTTAAAATGTAGAATATGTGGTTTTCAAAAATATTTTAGTCTAATAAATATATGATCACTTTACCAATCTCTTGTCAACGATTTTTCGCGCACTGAATACAAATCTGTTAGGAAAGGCTGTCAATTAGCGTTTGTTTCCACTCGATGTTCTTTATTAGTCATATTTCCCTTGATGACAAAATAGCTTCTCAATAAAAATTTGATCTCTTCCTTTTCTTCACACTTTAATTGTAGTAAAACGCATGATCAACGAATGACAAAAGAAATAAAGAAACATGTACTCTAATACTCTAAATTGAATACAAAGTGTTAATGATCTCTATCTGATCTGTTTAATAAGAATCCACTGCAAGAGACTTAGAAGAAGAAGGAAGAAAAAAAGATGTGCTCTGATCATTAACTTATATTAATATTGTTCTTCTAAACAAGTAAGAAATGAACGCAAAATGCGAATATACAGAAAGATTTTACTGTAAACAATTTTTTCTCCTATTCATAAAAACCATCATTATGTTCCATTGAATTAACGCTCAAAAAAACAAAAGTCATCAATTTTGAACTATAATTTGTTTTTTTTCCTATGAAAAAGGCTGTAAATTGTTTAAAGTGGATAAAACAGTTTCATCACAGAAAATAAAATGATCATAGGACAGAAATAGATTTGATCTCCAAAAAAATGACAGAATTGATCCTGTTTACAAAAACTGGTACAGAAAATGCAGAAGTGATCCGTTAAATTTGTTCTACATTTTTGATTCTAGAACAAGGTTGTTTATTTATCTCTTCTTCAGTTCTAATCCCGGTTAAAAATTTATTTATTTCTTCTGCAGAATTGATTTTGGCTGTTGTCTTGTATGAAAGTCTGTCCTATATAGGACAGATTTTAGCACAAGACAACAATCGGAATGAATTCTGCAGAAGAAAAACGGAAATTCATAACCAGAATCAAAACTTCAGAACCAATTCAACAGAATTCCTTCTGCATTTTCTGTACCAGTTCTTGTAAACGGGATCAATTCTGCCATTTTTCAGGGATCTTTTCAGATTTTATCCATGATCATTTCTGATTCTATCAATAGGAAAATGCTTCGAGATAATCTGCTTTTCTTAAACAAATCGTCTTATTTTGCAGTCAAATTAGTCAGAATTCTACATGCCAGATTTTTTCCTTGTTTCACAAACATCATTTTTTTTATTTCGAACTATCAAAGCAATTAGATTAGATTGCTATTGTTATATACCCAAATGCAAAATTTCTTCCTTATTGTAATTTTCTTAAAATGAATCTGTCTTGACAAAATAAAAAAAGAGGCAAAAGTGTAAAAATCATAGAAATGAAACGTCTTTTTTTCTATCTCTTGCTTTCTCCTCGTGG